AATGGACTAGGTAGAATGGATAACTCTCCCATTACAATATGACTGACTAGGACCTGGATATATTTCAAATATAATTTTAATACATTGCTGACATCTAAGAAACAAATTATATCCCATGTGCCAAAAATGGGAAAAGGAAAACAGCTAAAACTGGAATGAACAGTTTAAACAAATGTAAAGGCTGGGATTGCCTTGGGGGAAATGTCAGTACCAGCTACTGGAATTAGAAGATTAAGCTTGGGCTTTCTGCAAAATGGGGAGTGACACTCTTCCATTAAGCCAGAATCTTTGAAGAGAACTATAGGGATCTCATATCAGTAGCCTCCCTGAATCCATTATAAAACAAATACAATCCCTCAGTTGAGGCCTCTGATTTACAAAACTTAAATGCAATAAAATATAATAATAAATTAACAAACATCACAAATGAAACTCATGAGAAAACAATAACATTTAAATTCTTGAGAATTTATATAGTGAAATTATCAGGTAGGTAGTATAAAATAATTATGGTTCAACTGTTTTTAAGAAATTAAAAGTGGAATAAAAATTTAAAAATCAAAATATAAATGTAATAAAAAGTCTATGTATATTTGAAAAAAATAACCAATTAGAACATTTATAAATAAAAATAGAGGCCCGGTGCAGTCGGGGAGCCCTCAGGGGCAGGAGGCAACCTGGTAATCAGGGGAAGGCGATGCCCTATCACACCTCTGCTGCTGCCACTGCCGGCAGCACAAGCCTCAGCCGGCCCTGGTTACCTGAGCCTCGGGTGGCCCTGGGTGGCTGGGTAGCTGCCATCTGAGACTTGCTTGCACCTCAGGCCAGCCCTGGGCAGCTGAGGGTCGGATGAGGGGCAATGAGGGGACTGGGGGACTCTGGAGGCAGATAATTTACAAAGGAGGACAAATAGATATCAAGTTTTTCAATACCAACACACTGGAAGCCAGAACACAATGGAATGATACCTTCAAAGTTCTGGAGAAAAAATAATTGTCAACCTAGATTTCTAGATTAGCTTTTCTGTTTTCAAGAAAAATGACAAAGATATTTTCAGACTAACATAGATTGAATTTATTATCAAGAAGCCTTTCTTCAAGGAACTTTTTAAAGAATGTACTTCAGTCCTGGCCACTGGGGCTCAGTTGGTTGTCCTATGTACCAAGGTGTTGCTGGTTTGATTCTGGCACATGCCCAGGCTTGATTCCCCAGTAAGGGGGTGGGGAATGTGCAGGATGCAGCTGATTGCTGTTACTCTCTCACATCAATACTTCTCTCTTCTCCCCTTTTTCTCTAAAAATCAATAAAACTATTTTAAAAATAAATGTACTTAAGAAAGAAGGGAAAATTCTAAACTCAAGTTCAGAATTCCCATATGCAAAAGAATGAAGTTACCTCATGTCATATACAAAAATTAACCCAAAATGACAGCCCTTTTGGAGTGGCTTCAGTGGTTAAGCATCAACCCATGCACCAAAATGTCACCGGTACAATTCCCAGTCAGAGCACATGCCTGGATTGTAGGCTCGATCCCCAGTAGGAGCATGCAGGAGGCAGCTGATGAGTGTTTCTCACATGGATGCTCACCCCCCACCCCTCTCCCTTTCACTCTTTCTAAAATCAATAAAAACATATATATTTTTTTTAAATGGGAAGTCCGGCTGGCATGGCTCTGTGGTTAAGCGTCAATCTATGAACCAGGAGGTCACATTTGGATTCCTGGTCAGGATACATGCCCAGGTTGTGGGCTTGATCCTCATTGTGGAGTATGCAGGATATAGCCAATCAGTGATTCTCATCATTGATATTTCTACTTTTCCCTCTCCCTTCCTCTCTAAAATCAATAAAAACATATTTAAAAAATAAATTAAAAAAAGACACCACCCTGATCTCCAGTATTGTAAACTTCATCTGGCAAAAGAATATAGGATGTCCTAAAAAAAAAAAAAAAAAAAAAAAAAAAAAAAGTAAACACACACTTTAAGTAATTATTAAAATTCATTTCATTTTCAAAAATTGAACTTTTAGCTGTTAAATTATATATACATTTTTTAAGAGATCCTGTAGTTTTACTAGTGGACTAGAAACCTTTTGAACAATTCTGTATTTGTATAGTGTCCTATGAATTGCCAAGATAAAGTTTTCTTGGACCCAGCTAGTGAAAAGCATTTCATGGTCATGCACATTGCAATGGTCTACCTCAATTTGAAGAAATCAGAAGATCTGGGTGGTAGTCTTCTCCCTTGTTACCTTGCATAAGTGACTTCACTGCTGGTTTCAATTCCCTCATATGTAAAATTAAAGGGAACTTTAAATGTTTCCTAAGAAAGAAATCTGTATTTCACTCTAACAAGTCTACAGACTCCTGCTTTCACACACATACACATGTACTGCATTGAAATGTAGGGAATTTAATGTAGACTCTTATGAATCACAGCATTGTCATTAATCTGTTTTAAAATGAAGTGATGAGGTGATGATTTATTGGGCATATTTCTTATATATTCTCAGACATCATTTTAAATTTATAGTTTTTTAATTGGATGGTGACTGATTATGGTATAATTTAATTACTACAACCTCAGGATCTGTACTGAGTTGAGAAAGGGGATTATGCTGGTCTGAGCCTGTACCTGTAAACATGCTTATATGCCATGGTAGCGAAATGGCTCACGTTTGGAATTCTCATTGCAATTACTGCAAGTACCTCAAGGAACAAGAGTTGTTGCGTTATATTTACACATGAGATATATACATCTGTTTTCTCACCACAATTATCCATTTATGTTAGTCAGTCATAGTAACCACCCATGCTTTGGAATGAGATGTGACTAAGAGGTTCAGTACTCCGGCCCACTGCATTGCTGTCTGGAAAGATTCCTATGAGATGAAAGAATGGAAAAGACACTCTCCACTCCAGGCATACTGAACTTTATTTAGTTCCACAAAAGCCTTTTGGTGATCTTTGCTTATTGTCTTCTTTAAAAACTTTCTGAGTGTGGAAAACTTCCAACTTAGATAAACAAAATAGTAATAAGCCCCACTTTTTCACCCAACTTCAACAATTAAATATTCTACATCTCATTTTATCTACACCACCCCCTTGCCAGCTCCTTCATTTGGTTATTATTCACAATAGCCCAAAAATTTTACAGATTTTAAAGTAAATGTTGCATACATTGGAATGCATAAGTGTTAATTGAAGAGTTCTGACAACTAGATACACCTGTGTACCTATACCCTCAACAGATTTCCATTTCATGAGAAGGTGTTCCTTCTTTCTTCCCATGTCTTCCCTCAACACCCCCAAAAGCAACCAATCACTGATATTTTTTCACAATATATTAGTGTTGCCTATTCTAGGATTTCATATAAGTGGAGACATCACTTTTATATACCCTTTTGTGTCCACTTCTTTTCTCAATATTGTATTTGTGAGATTTAGTCATGTTATTGTATCATTATTTCATCCTTTTTATTGATAAGTAGTAATATGCCAAAACTTGTTTATCCAACTTCTTGTTGATGGACATTTGAAGTTGCTTTCCCTTTTGGGCTATTGTGAATAAAGCTGCTGTCAACATTCTTGTACAAAACCTTTTGCGAACATATATCGATATTTCCCCTTATCTTGGATAATCACCCAGGACTGCAATTGCTGGATCACAAAGAAAGCATATGTTGAATTTTGTAAGAAACCACAGCCCTTAGTCAAAGTGATTATATCATTTAACACTCCCACCAGCAATGTATATATGAGTTCTAATTGCTCCACGGTCTCATCATTACCTGGTATTGTCAGTCTTAAATTCTACCCATTCTAGTGGGTGTGAAGTAGTATCTCAACTTCGTATTCATTTGTATTTCCCTAATGACTAGAAATGTTAATCATGTTTTCATGAGCTATTACTTTGGCCCAACATGTTTCACATGAGGTTCCTTGGTTCCTTGGTTACTACCACACACACACCTAGCTAATTATGTATTCCTTATCTTGTCCTTCTCACTTTATTGAAAGGAATCCTTTTGTCCAGGAAAGTGGAGAGATAAAGAAATCAGCCTAAATGTTAGAACCAATTTTCTAGAAACATCAACCACTGTCTTTTCATAGCACCTTGGAATCTCAGATCCGGGAAACTCTCCTTTCCTGCACCCTCTTCCGTTTCCCAAATTAGGAAACACAACACAAGTCTGAGTTGCTCATTTAGTTTGATGTTAAGATAAGGTGATTAGACGTCCCGATTTTTAACAATTTGTCCCTCGGCCCGCGCATTTTAAAAAAGTCCCGATTTTTGGAAAGAAATGCACGACAAACTAGGGAACAGCGAGAGAACTGGAAGAGAATATACAGTTTTCGGCGGCCATATGGCTATTTAGCCAGGATATGAGTTTTATATTATTTTTGTTAATTTTATAATGTTAAACTTTAATAATAACAACTAATTGTTGAGAACTGATTATCAAAGTTCGCATTGTTGATCAGTTGTTAGAATTCACTCAAATGAGAAATATGCCAAAGAATAAAATAATACCTGTACATAATTTTTATTTATTTATTATATTTGTAAATTGTACTTATGTTGAAATTAAAAAATATATATTACAATACTATTTTCATGTTCTATGAAAATTTTTGTTGCTCCATATAGACCAAATTTTTAATCAAGAACACCCCCACCCCCACCCCCCAACCCCCACCCCCGTCTATGGTGTCCCGCTTTACCAATGTTAAAATCTGGTCACCTTATGTTAAGAGGTACAAAAAGCTTGTAAGGCTTCAGTGGAGACAGGGCCATACCAACAAATATAAAGGGGGAAGGACTGTGCGGAAGTTTTATCGAAGAACAGTATTTCCCTTGAAGGGGGTCATCCTGTGTCTTTCCAGCCTGCAGAGAAATAAAATGATTAACTGCACAGCATGACCCTGCTCAAGAAGGCAGGAAGCTCCGGGTCAAAGGGCAGCACGCGCTGGTCCATCCTTCAGTCCCACAGCGAGAGCACTTCCGCCCGCTGCCATGTACCGTTGCCTGGGCGAAGCGCTGCTACCGAGCGGCGTCGGGCCCGCCGCCCTGGGCTCCGCGGCAGCGCTGCTGGGCCGGGCCCATGGGCACCCCGCCGCTGCCGCCCCACAGCCAGGCCTCCCACCGCCGCCCACCCGGCGTCCCTACAGCGAGGCGGCGGCGGAGGCTGGCCGCGAGGACGACCCCAACTTCTTCAAGATGGTGGAGGGCTTCTTCGACCGCGGCGTCAGCATCGTGGAGGACAAGCTGGTGGAGGACCTCAAGACTCAGGAGAGCGAGGAGCAGAAGCGCAAGCGGGTGCGTGGCATCCTGCACATCATCAAGCCCTGCAACCACGTGCTGAGCCTGGCTTTCCCCATCCAGCGCGACAATGGCTCCTGGGAGATGATCCAGGGCTACCGGGCCCAGCACAGCCAGCACCGCACGCCCTGCAAGGGAGGCATCCGGTACAGCGTCAACGTGAGCGTAGACGAGGTGAAAGCCCTGGCTTCTCTGATGACCTACAAGTGCGCCGTGGTGGATGTGCCGTTTGGGGGTGCCAAAGCCGGCTTGAAGATCAACCCCAAGAACTATAGCGATAACGAGCTGGAGAAGATTACGAGGAGGTTCACCGTGGAGCTGGCCAAGAAGGGCTTTATCGGTCCGGGCATCGACGTGCCTGCCCCAGACATGGGCACGGGTGAGCGAGAGATGTCCTGGATTGCGGACACCTATGCCACCGTCATCCGGCACGGTGATATCAATGCCTACGCCTGCGTCACTGGCAAGCCCATCAGTCAGGGTGGGATCCACGGGCGCATCTCTGCTACCGGCCGGGGAGTTTTCCATGGCATCGGAAACTTCATCAATGAAGCTTCTTACATGAGCATTTTAGGGATGACGCCAGGGTTTGGAGATAAGACGTTTGTTGTCCAGGGATTTGGGAATGTGGGCCTGCACTCGATGAGGTATCTGCATCGCTTTGGTGCCAAGTGTGTTGGCGTTGGCGAATCTGACGGGAGTATATGGAATCCAGATGGCATCGACCCAAAGGAACTGGAAGACTTCAAATTCCAACATGGATCCATCCTGGGTTTCCCCAAGGCAAAGCTTTATGAAGGGAGCATCTTAGAGGCCGACTGTGACATACTGATCCCTGCTGCCAGCGAGAAGCAGCTGACCAAGTTCAATGCGCCCAGAATCAAAGCCAAGATCATCGCTGAAGGTGCCAATGGGCCAGTAACTCCGGAAGCGGATAAGATTTTCCTGGAGCGGAACATCATGGTCATTCCAGATCTCTACCTGAATGCTGGGGGAGTTACAGTATCTTACTTTGAGTGGCTGAAGAACCTAAATCATGTCAGCTATGGCCGTTTGACCTTCAAATATGAAAGGGATTCTAACTACCACTTGCTCATGTCGGTTCAGGAGAGTCTGGAAAGGAAATTTGGAAAGCAGAGTGGGACTATTCCTATTGTGCCCACATCAGAGTTCCAAGCCAGGATCTCGGGGGCATCTGAGAAAGACATCGTGCACTCTGGCTTAGCCTTCACCATGGAGAACTCGGCCAGGCAAATCATGCACACGGCCATGAAATATAACCTGGGACTGGACCTGAGAACAGCTGCCTACGTCAATGCCATTGAGAAAATCTTCCAGGTGTACAAAGAAGCCGGTTTTACCTTCACCTAGATGGATTGCCACGGACTTCTATACCACTCTCTTCACCTCTTCATCCGTAGACCTGTCACAAGTTTACATGCAACCACAGATCTTTCTCTCATTGCTTATAGACAATGGACAGCATTCTCATAGGTCAGTTCAAATGAGACCCTTCAGAAGAGAGAAATTAAAGTTAGGGGATCGTGTGCAACACTAAAAGTCGATGCCAGAGAGCCATTTGGGTATATCAGTAAAGGAGATCAATTCTATAGATGACAGACAAAAAATAAGTGCTGTTTCTCTTTATGCATTTTTATTCTTTTAGAATAAAATAAGTACATGTTGCTGTAATAAAATTGCCTTGAACCACTTACTAAGCCTCACCTTGACTAAGTGGTGAATGCCTGTAAACATAATGAATGAAAATGCTGTGTATTTTTTTTTTTTATAACAACACAGTATCATTTATAGCTTATCAGTAGTATGTTGTCCAACAAACAAAAAGCCCAAGGAGAGTTAGTTATCTTCTTTCCTATCATTGCACAGCCAATTGATGGCACCTATTTCTGTTGTGTGAGACTGTCAGAATTTATTAACCACATGGATGACACATAGTCCAAAGAATGTAGTAACCTCCTTATGTTAAGTAATTGCTCTTCTCTTTTCAAAGTCTATTGTGTTGCCTGATTGAACAATAATTCAAATAGAGTGTCCCAGAAAAAAACCCCACTTGGGCTCTCTCTTTGGGGTCTTGCTGGCAGCTCTGAGCATTGCCAATATGACCCAACTCACCCTGACTTTGCATCTTTTCCCCCTCGGTACAGACAGCCTGGCGGGTGTGTGTGTGTGTGTGTGTGTGTGTGTGTGTGTGAGTGTTTGCCAGGGCCTTTTGAATAGCAGTGTCCCAATGAAGTGCTAGATACTATTTATGTAAGAATGAGCTTTTTTTTTTTTTTTTTTAAACAATATCCTTTCAGAAATGTCTACTTTGTAACTGCACGACTTAACCTGGTGATAAAAGATAAAAGCAGTTATTAAAAGTCTACCTTTAAAAAAAAATTTACAGCATGAAAAAGAAATATTATTTCCTTGGAATGTAAACACGAAGTTCCCATTTATCAGAAAGGCACTGCAAACTCTTGCTGGCTGTGCTTTATAAAGCTTGTCTCCTGACCTGCCCCAGTGTTCTGAGAAGATAAGGAGAAACTTTTCTCAGGCCTCTCTGAGCCTGACCTTCAGTGACTGCCTGGGGTTGAGGTGAAGCCTTCCGTATGTGGGAAGAAATGGGACTGCTATCAGAAGAATTACAGTTTATGCTTTCCATATCTTGCCACCGTCTGTTGCTGGCCTTTTGGCTTCCTCCCACTAAGAGGAAACCTTTAATAGTGTGTTTATAATCAGCTATGCCCGTACCTTTGGTGCATTGCTCAGATTCGCTAGTTACTCAACATTCCTATTCATGCTGATAGCTTTCTATTGCCAATGCTTGCATCCCTTAGCCCAGTGGTTGGCATGGCTTGTGAGCCGTGGTTTGTCACTCTGTTGACTAATGAGTTTACCCACTACTGTCATATACTACCCTTTACCTCTTTGCACACAATATGTCACAATTGCCTAATCCTCACAGCTTCCAACTACAAGGCAACATTTAGTCTAGCAGTGATCAACAAACTCATTAATCAACATAGCGGCAAACCGCTGCTTGTGAGACGCATGTGGCTTGAGAGCTGCAGTTTGCCGACCACTGCCTTAACACAAGAGCTTTCTCTGACCACAGGAGATGCTGGGTGCCAGGCAGGCTGAAGTGCCAGTGAGTTAACATCCCTAGAAACAGCCTTCAAATTAATGACAGGTGGGAGTTAGTGGCTAATTCTCCAACTTTCTCATCCTTTGGGTGGGACAACTCTTGGGTATGCTCTACACCACCTCCCAGAGTCACACAGTAGACATGAGTCCAGTTCCCCACACAGTTACCTCCTCATGAACACATCCTCTAACTGGCTCCTTCCCTTCCCTGGTAATGCTTCCCAATATTGCCTTCCAAATAACTCCTAGTCTCAATCTTAGTCTCAGGATCTCTTCGGAGAAACCCAATCTAGGCTAGTTTAGTATCAAGTCAACTCACTAATAAAATAATATTAGGATGGACATATTAATAAATCTGATACTCAAAATGCGGCACTGCACCTCCAGCATTCCCAAAGACAGAACTAACTCCTGAGGTTAGCCAGAGTTTTCCCTGAGATATTGTTAGAGAACTCTTTTCAGGAAAAGATATTGTTTAAAGAATAATCCTCTAACCAAGGAAGGGGTACCTCACATATTTGAGCTCAGATGGATAATCAGCTACTTGATTTCTCCAAGCAAATTGGTATAATGTATATTGTTTCCCATCATATTAAGATACTTCTGGATATAATAAAAAAGTATCTTCAACATATTGATGTTTGGTTTTACTCACCTTGTTCTGTTTTGGAAAACAAAAGTGGGAAAGCAAGAATAATTTTGCTGAAGAGAGAAGATGGCTGGTACTGGGGTGTATAGGTATGTATGTATGTGTGGGCCCAGGAGTCCTCAGCATTCTTTGCCCTTCACAAAAAACATTAACACAACTAAAATACTGTGGCAAGTTTGTGTTTATGGATGTGTCATGGGTTGATGAGTTTGGTAAATAGTCCCACGTAATACTTTTATAGGTCAGGGATCATAGGAGTATTACAAAATTGAAGCAATGTCAAGTTTCCATGACTCAAGATACTAGAAATCTGGCACCAGGATACATTTTGCTCCCCTACCCATTAGAATATTTCTTCTAAAATTCCAATTCCATACACAGAGATCCAGGTCTGAGGCTTGGTCCCATAGTCTTCCTCTAAATATTATCCTCTAGGTAATTTAATGTTAACTTCACTATTTTTAAAATTTAAATATATATATATATATATATATATATATATATATATATATTTATTAATACAATATATATATATATAATTGCTGCTTGATAAGGACTAAACATTGTTATAGTTTTCTATTAAATATGAATTAACTATATTCTCTGGTTTATATGAATAAATGAAACTTCTAATGCCTCGGGTTTCTCATCCTTTTAAGAGAAATCCTTGAGGTCAACATTGTACAATACAAAGATACTATGGGTCCATGTCACAGATGTTCATCAGTTCAACATGACAGACTTTGTACACTTTCTGTAATAATGTCCTTGTAAACCTAAACCTTTCTTGTCCACCCCAATTGTTCTTTCCTGAGGAAACAGGCAGCAAAATGTTAATAAACACCTGTTCTGGTTATTCTTTGATTCTCCCAGACTATTGACTCTTCTCTACTATTTTCTTTATGTGACCTCCATGGACAATGTCACCCTCTAGCCAGTGGGAGGTACCTGGAGGAGATCAGAATGTAGGAGAAGAGATATTAGGGTACTATTCCCTCCCACTTACTCTGTCACTGTGATTCTATCAATGAACTTATCACCAAAACTATAGCTACCATTGACTAGCTCTCAACCAGGCTCCAGTCATAAGGTTGTGATACTGGGACTGGATTTTAAGAATAAACTGGTTTCAACAGATGGTGAAGAGAGAAAATGCACTGGAAAACAGACAAAGAGTGGAAATAAAGTTTTGGAATTATGAACGAACACGAGTGTACAGGGGACAGTGAGAAGACCACCCTGACCAAAATGGTCACAAATTAGGTGGTATAGAGACCATTGTACCAGATGGCCTTAATAGGTGAAAGAATGTTGATTGCCTGTGGTGTATGTTAGAAGCTGCAGGGACTTCTCGGTGGAGAGATTACTTAGTTCAAACATCTTCAGTTGTCACAACAGGCTGGTTGTCGTGACTCTTGGCCAGGTTTTGACTGGGAAATGATAATAATCGTAGTGGTTGAAAGAGGAGATGATTCATGTGTATTTTGACTCCTTTACAAATTTAATTTTAGCCTGAATCATAAAGTCTGTAGCCTTTCCCATGGATTTTGTTGGCAGCAGTCCTATGTTCCCATGGGAACAGACATACTCACCTACCCAGACCTTCCTCCTCTGTTTGCCCTCAGCTTCTGTTTGAACGTTTTCATCTTTTCTATGGAGCATATTCACATATAAGCTTAGAGCACAGTTGATTTTTCTATTACAGCTGAGGATTCATTCTGAATTTTTTTCAAATACGTGAAACTCTAGGTATAACTCCAAACAGAGTACGATGAAAGCAGGCATTTGAAAAGACCGTGGTGTAATAAATATCTCATTGAATGCCATCTGCTATACAGCTTTCTTTGATGACCAGAGAGAGGGAATATGGCACAGCATGCTTCTTGGGCGATTAATTCTGGAAAGTCTCTTCTAAGCTCTAATCAAAATAGGAAGAGCCTACCTCCCATATGTTTAGGACCTTTGCAGTCCTACGGGTGACACTGCATTTCCAGGAAATAAGTTCTCAGATCATAACTGCAAAGCAGCAAAAACTTACCTCCAGGAATTCTGCGCTGAACTCTTGGCTCAGGCGGGATACACTTCAGTTTTATATTACTTTTCTTTCATTGCCAAATTCTAATGGCTTGAAATCCAAAATAGATTAACTTAAACGATAGCAGTTGTGTGTTTTCAGGAAACTTTGGTTATTGAAGACAGGGCTTTCCTCAACTTATGTAAAAAGCACTTACTGAGCCAGCTTCTAGACTACATTCTGATAATTCAGACATGAATAACACTTCCTCTGGAGTGTTTCAGGCAGGATAGATCCATTAAAAATAAGCTGTAATAAAACCCACTAAGTACTTTCATAAAAGTGCACCAGCTCTGCGGGACATAGAAGAAAAAACATCCTTGATCCTGTGGTTCCAGGGAGGCTTCCTGGGAGCCAGAGTCGTTTGGACAAAGTCTACAAGAACCAGCAGGGGCTCGCTCAGGGGCCGGAGAGCACTTAAGGCAGAGAACAGAGTGAACAAAAACACCAAAACATCACAGTGCAGTGCTGGCTGTTATTGCTTTTCATTCCAGAGGAGAGAAGTCAGGCATCCAGGGAGAGACAGGTGACTGGGAGGCTGCCCTTCTCAAGTACAGGCTTCTCAGCTCAGACCAGCTGCAAGCAGAAATGTCGGTACTGAAAAACCAGGCTGGTGAATGATAAGGGTAGGACTTCCTGGTGAGCAAAATATTTCAAACACTCTCATAGAAATGGGACAATAGACTCAAAATAACTGTGGGTTTTCCAGACGATCGGGAAACGTGATTTCTGGGGGGAAGAGACATCTCCTCTTAGAGAGAACGTAAGGGAAATGCCAATTTCTGGGGGAGGAGATTATCTCCTCTTAGAGAGAACATAAGGGAAATGCCCTGAGGTTTTTAGGAACTGCCAGTGATCTCAGCCTTTTCCCTAGTTCCAAGAATGTTTCATTGTTGTTTTCCCAACCATGTTGTTTTCCCACTTCTCACTTTACTAAAACATGAGTTTACTCCCTGCATCAGTTACCTA